CCCTTAATTCTCTGTTTCCTGTGCTTTTGCTTCATTTGTAATTTTAAGAGATTTTCTATAAGAAATAGGTTTATTCTATATTGTACATCAGTAAATTAGCTAGTTTTTACTATATAACTTTAACCCTTTAATTCTGGAGGACAAATAGAGTTGCTTTGTAAGAAATGAAATAAGGATTTAACTGTTTATCATCCTTTAGTGTGCAGTGAGAAAGATGTCAAAGACTTCTGTATTTTTGATGCACTGTTTTTAGTCCACTGTCATTTTGCCTTGGAGTTTTATTTTGATACTTGATTTTGTCCATGTATTGTAAGCAATTATTTCCAGGTGGCTTCTTCGTGCAACCAATTCACTGCAGTAACTTTGAAAAGAGTTTTCCTTCATTAAAAGCTTCTTCTGAATTGTTGGGAGAACAAAGTGCTGTCCCTAGTGGCTCCTAAAACTTATGGATGCATGCAATGAAATTGCTAATATTATTTTTAATGGAAAAATGTCGGAGTAGTACTTTTAATAGCTTTATGCAAGCATGAACGACTTGAACTACAGAGCTAAATCTCAAGCTCCTTGAGCTGTTCTTCAGCCCTCAAAATACAGTTCATGTAGGTAGGTCTTCAAAACTAAGACACCCCTTCCACGTTCTCGCCCAGCCAAGCCATGATGAAACGCTGAATATAGAAACCTCATTTGTATGGGGTCTCCACGTCTGACAGTGCAGTGAATAATGGCATCACATTTCAAAAGACAAGTTGACTTGCTTTTAAGTCTTTGCAGTCATCTGAAAGCAGAAGTGTTCTGTGTTTTTTTCAAAGCTTTTATTTTAACCCAGAGTAGATTGTGGGGAGCGTTAGGCAGCGTAGCAGCCTGCTTGTGGGGAGGGGAATGCCGAAGAGAAGAGACACCATCCTGTGGATATTTGCTGCCTTGCTGGTGGCCCTGGGCAGGACTCATTTAGTATTAATGCTTTCAAAAATCCTTAGAAATAGCTTGGTTTGTAAGCATGGGACTCATATCAAGAAGCACAGTATCAGTAAGGGTGGTTAGCAGCCCTGTCTTTAGTACCTTCAAGTGTTACCAGTACTCAGAAATGCCAGTTAATCAGCATGCAGACAGGAGATGGGATTTCTTGTCAGTTATGATTGATAGTTTTGTCTGTGGGATTTTCCCACATCTTTCCCATAGCTGTGAAATGGCAGGTCCCTTGAGTATATAAATGACCCAAAGTATGTATGTGATTTCCATAAACCTGGACAGGAAAGGGGCAGCCTGTAGAAAAAAGGCATACTGTGAAGCAGAGGGATAGCTTTGAAGTAGAATGACATTTTTCATTGGTTGTAGAAAACAGTGATAATACCTAATTCCTTATCACTGTCACATGATGCAAATGATTTTGACCATAAGTGCCTAGGTTTTTCAGCCAGTTTCACAAAGAAATTCCAGGAAAGAAACAGTGGGATATGCTTTAACATTTTCCAGATCTGTTTTGAAAAATGCAGATGAGCATCTGTATATCAAAGTAGTGATACACATGAAGTATCTGAAACCAATATATCAGAGATTCTTCTCTTTCCTATAAAAGTAATTTGGCAGCATGCCATTATTATCATGTAAATCTCTTCCTCCTTACTACACAATAACAATATATCCTCGGCCATCATTTTTCCCTCCTGAGGTTGTTGCTGTTATCTGTAATTTCCATAAAGTTTCCATGTTAACAATGCCTACTTCTCTGTGCACTTACATTACTAGTCAGTGCACACTTCCCGAAAACAAAATATCTCACGTAAATGTTTTGAGCATGCCCGTTCCATGCTTTTTTGAATTAATACAGCTAAGACATGTTTTAGCAGAGGCTGAAGTATCACATTTAGATTTGCTAATCTACTCTACCTTTGCCAATTTTTTCTTTATGTTGTGCAGAATGCTCATATTTGGCAAGATATTTCACTGCTTGGGTTTTTGTCTTAAGTATTATCAAACTTGTGTTATAGATTGTATACATTACTGGAAATATGAAATATTTCTAGCATGATTTATTGAGTTATGTTATTAAATGGAAAATGCGTACATAGATCAGAGGTCATCTCTGCTCAAGTATTTAATGTATGGTAGAAAAAAGAGGTTATTCAGAAAATCGTGGGTGGCTTGGTGTGTTTTTTTATTATGTTTTTTTGTTTGGCTGTTTTTTTGGTGGTGGTTGCGCCCCCCACCCCCCCTTCATTCTTCCGTGTCATCAGTCACTGAAGTATATCAAATGCTAATATCTACGTTTCCATCCATGCCTGTCTAGAGTATTCAATCATTTTCTGTTATGCCACCTTTCTAAGGAAAGGATACACACCATCTTATTTGGTTTTGGCAGATGTCTTCCATTTGCCTTGTCATATGTCAAGACTGGGTATGATAGAATTGATTTTCCTCCATTAAGAATTTAATTTTTTTCAATTACGTTTTCATCTTTCTGGAGGCTGCTTTGATTATAAAGACTGGGCATGGACCCGTGTGGAACCGGCTCCAGGAAACTAGTGATAGCCCATCTGTATCGTAGCTGTATGTGCATTAAGAGCATGCTGCTTCCTTCCATCATGAGGTGGTTTACAGATGGGGAGCTGGGACCGCCTGTGTGTTGGCCATCACAGCTGATCTGGCGATGTGGTATGTTAATATATCGGATATGTTAATACGTTACAGATTTAGAAGTAGTGACGAATTTGTGCTTCTACCTCCCTGCCAGAAGCAGTATTTCTTTTTTGTGGGCTCTGTTGTTTGGCTGTTCTCTGAGCTGGACTTGGGTTAAAATGAATGTTGTTTGGGAGAAAAGAGGTTGATTTTTCCAGATGATTTGCTTGAGAGGGTAGCTGAACAAATCATTGTACAGACACTGCTGAAGGGAGGGTGCCTACTTGTTAGGGACAAGAAGGAGCTCAGAGTGGAAATGATTAATCTGCTGCCAGGGGAATAATTGCATGGACTTGAGCCCTTGTCCAGTACTCCTGAGGTGAAAGGCTTCTTCCTCTGTAAAGAATCTGCAGAAAGTGCTAGTCCTAAGCGTCAGTGCTGTTTTTGTGTTAATGTCTCAGGAAATATTAATGTTGGTAAAGATTGCGGTGATGGTGCTTATAAAAATATACTTGAGGTTTCAATGCATACCGGTTTACTTATCCTGCTTGGTTTGGAAAGCATTTAGTAATTAAGTTAAAATAATTAAATCGGATATTATGAGCACAGGATAGATTTCAAGCATTCTTTTTTCCCCTCGAGGTTATAAAATATTATTCTTGCATTAGCATCTAGAAGACTGTTGAGCAGAGATTCTGGGTAAGTTAAAACTAAAAGTTCAGCTAAGGTAGAGTAAGAAGACTTGGCATCTTGTCATAGACAGTGCACAACGAGCTTCTGACTGGTGGCTTGGCATCCACATTCTTTTCAATATGATAATTTTAGAAAATTTAATTCAAAGTGCAACATCACATGATTCTGTAATTATCTATCTAACATAAAGCATTTCAAAATGATGTTTGAAAATCAGTGGCACCATGTCCATGATGGGTGTGGAGTATTACAAGGAACTGCTTATCCGATTTTACTGTGTCATCTGAATATTAACTCTTGCATAGAATAGCTCAGAAAAGGCAGTCGAGCTTAGTAGAAGGTGCCTTCATTCGGATAAGATGTTATCTGCCCCTCCACTTGGGGATATGTGGCTTTAGGGAAATATTAACACCTTGGAAAACCAGCAATGCCCTTAATGCAGAAAGGCCGGTTGTCATTTCCATTCCAGCTGCGAAAAACATCTCGGGGTGAGGGAGTTAGCTGGCCCCCGTGCATCCCGGGAGTGCCCGAGCCTTGTATTGCCCAAGTCTTCCTGTGCTAGCCTGTAGAAACCTACACGGGTTATGCTCTGAACAGATCATGTGCATCTCTTGAAAACCCATCTCCATTTGGCTTTTCAAACATTTTCTGCTTCAACTGCTTCAAACATGCTGTTGGGAACTGCTGGAACTTTGAACTGGTTAAAACTGAAATAAAACATTGAATGAGATGCATACAGAATCTTCCTTTCTTCTCTCCACAAGTATTTGTTTAGCCTTTATACTTCAGCTTTTTACTTTCTTCGAGTTGATATTGCAGTCTATATGGTGATTATTTCTCACAGTTCAACTTCATCATTGCTGCTGACTTAGGGCCTTACTGTAGTTAATATATTCATGCACAGAGTATTTCCTTTCTTTTTTTTTTTTTTTGGGGGGTTTCCTTTTTCTTAAACTTTTTGCCATAATTACAGTAAATGATTTCTTTGATTGCATGTTGAGAGGGCAGAAATGCTGTGCCAGCAGCCTTTTTTTATTCTTTGCTGCTGCTACTGTTCTCTTGCTGGTTCCCGAGTGTAATAAGATCTATGCACTCTACTAATTTTTGTGCATACTTAGCTGCAATTGCAACCTTTAGTAATTATTATTTAATTAACTCCAAACTATTGCCTGAACAATGCAAAATTTAAAAATGTAAAAAAGAAAGAAAAAAGGACAAAACAAGGTATTTTTTATATTTCAAATCCATATGCATTATTTATTAGAGTTTTTATACGAGGCATTAATAGGATGGTGACATTAAACAGTGTGCATAATTGGAGAAGTATCAGAGGTATATAGTAACAGAGAGTTTGGCGTTTAGCTGGGAATCAGATTTGTTTTCATAATCTGTAGTGAGAATTTCTTAAAGCCTTGAAGATGACCCTTTTAAAATATTGAAATTTTAATTGTGCTTTAGCTAATCTAGGTGTTTTCAGTTAGGAGAAGTTGACTAAATATTATTTTTTTAATAAACACACTGCCTAATTCTGGTGGAAAAAAGTGTATATATTTGGAGATTTACTTATAGATCAGTAGGTCTGTGCTGTGAATGTGAAAATAATCAGTAAATGTTTGTGACCAAATACTTGTCTGAAGGCAATACAAAGACTGGCTTTTAATAAATAAAAGTTCCTGGGTTTGCTTTTGTAGTGGATGGCTGTATACACAGAGCTGCTGGACCCTGCTTAGTTGCTGAATGCCGCAACCTGAGTGGCTGTGAGACTGGACAAGCAAAAATTACGTGTGGATATGACCTACCTGCAAAATGTAAGTCAACCCTTTCTCAGCGTTTTCTTTTTGTTTTAAGCACATCGAGCTGGTATGTGTGCTTTATTTCCCTGTAGTCTAATTCAATGAGGTATTCATTTTACAAAATTAGCAGTGGGACTTAATTAAGCATGTTCTGTAATAATGTCTTCCCCTCAAAGCAATTCAGGCTTTTCTAAATGATTTTTTAACCTATGTTATCTGATGAAAACATACGTATCTCTAAAATACAGAGCATCCTTCATGTTTATTTTTTGCAAGCTAAAACATATACTTTCATATGCATAATAAAGGATTGGAAATGCTTTATGAAGTATGAATAAAATATACATTATCATATTCAAGTTCCACAGAGACAGTTTTTGGAAATGTTGCGTATTTCATATTCTTCATGCAGATTCCTTGATTGTGAATACTTTGAGAGCTGAGGAGATCAAAGTGATGTATTGTGTTTTCAGCTGCTACGTAGAGGCTGATTGGCAATTACTGTGAAGGCATCTGTCACACTTTAGCTTTCGACAGTGCAGCTCAGTGCTGGAAAGTTTTTGCACTTTGAAATTGGAATTGTCAAAATTCCCATCCTATTTAAAAAAGGAAGATGGCTATTTGACCTTGTTGTGTAGATATTGAGCTTGTCTTGGAAAAAACTAACATGTTGACAGCACGTTGGTAGGCCAGTCTATTATGTAAGAATAAAATGTAGGAAATCTCTGCAAGTTAGGATCTTACAGAATAGCATATGAAGGTATGATGATACAGATACCAAGAAAGCTTTAGGAACAGCACATAACTAGAATTGAAGATCTCTTTTCTTATATGCAGTCTGCACTAGGAACATGGCTCATTCAAAAACATTTAGATCTTATCTCTTAATTTATTCTACACATTTTTTCCTGCAAAATCAAATGCTTACTGCAGTAGTAGGTATATTTTTAGGTTCCTGTGGCCATTAATGCCTTACGTAAAGAAGAAAATTGTGTTCCCAGTCATTTGCTGGAACCTTCTACGATAATGATGAGATCTGCCAATTATTTCCTTGACAATAATAATTGCTATATATGGGAAAACTTTGCTGTATTTTATACATAGTTTTACCACATGTTAATGATTATTTATGAAAGGTTAATTTGACTAGAGTTCAGGGAAATAGTTGAGGAAGATTTAACGTGGTAGTTATGTTGGGTTTGTATGTGGTCGAATTCTTCACCAGATTCCTGTAAAACAGATGGGCTTGTTAGTTAACACATTGTAATTGACTCTACTGGGGATTTTTGATGTTTAATTCTTCCTCTTTTAAAAAAAAAGTAATCTTGGGAGGTACAGAAAAGCTGCTCATCCATAGGTGCATAATTCCGTATATTTTAATAAGAGAAATTAAATACAAGTTACCAAGGCGAAGAGCACTGAATGGTGTTTGAAAGAGAAGACAAAGAAGTCTGATGTCTGAGATGTCACCTTCCTTTAAATTTTATAGGAGTTTTCTTAAGTTAGGTTTGTAGAGTGGGATCCTCTTTGAAGATTATAGGAAAATTTTTTGTTTTGTTCTTTATGTAGAAATAATAAACAAAACAATGAGAAAACCCATTATCACTTGCAGTTGGAAATAAAACCTGTAACCAGACATAGAGAAAAGTCAATATTCTGCTTAATCAATATTTTCAGAAACTGAAATTGCATCATAGACACATCTATTTGTATTTGATCATGCATCAACATGAGAGGTGGAAAGGATACATTAACTGACAAATGGGCACAGGGAGGGAAATAAACACTTTGTGTGCAGTGGCTGAGAATTAGATCATAGAATCCTAGAATGGTTTGGGTTGGAAGGGACCTTACAGACCATCCAGTGCCCCCCCCTGCCCCGGGCAGGGCCCCCTTCCCCCAGCCCAGGGGGCTCCCAGCCCCGTCCAACCTGGCCTGGAACCCTTCCAGGGAGGGGGCACCCACAGCTGCTCTGGGCACCCTGGGCCAGCGCCTCACCCCCCGCACAGGGAAGGATTTCTGCCTTAGATCTCACCCAAATCCACCCTCTTTCAGTTTAAAACAGTTACCCCTCATCTTGATACTCTTGATTTCTTAGATTTTTTTCCTTAATACATATTTGTGTTCACCAGCTGTTGTTTTCTTTTACTTTTCCCTTTAGAAGCTTTTGGTTGTAGGCTCATTAAATTATTGTATCTTTTAGACCATTCATCTGAAAGCGATGAAACAATCAAGACTCTGTTTTCATATTTCAAAGAGCTATAGAGCCACTGGATATCTTCTTTCACTCTGTGTCACTTTGTCATAATAGTATGCCAATTTAACTGTGGAAACTATTTCACATTTGATTTTTGTGATGAGAGCAGCAACGTGACGGGAGGTCTGGACATCCCCATCCAGATCCACTGTGATGCAATTTTGTGTGTCAGCAATTTGTTGAAGGTTATAGGTGGATGGATAACCGCCAGCTTTCACAGTGAGTTTGCGTTTCATGTATCTATTTGTATGTAGGAGACCAACCACAATAATCCATTAACAATTTGAGTAGTGCAATGATTATTTGATTGTCTCTGGTCCTCTCGTGATTGTAGTTGGATGAATAATGATAGTAAAAGTGAAATGCACTTTGCAACATGATGAATTGTTATATTTTTGTTATTTAACAGAATTTTAAACATTACAATCGTATTTCCTACCTCTGGGATTTTCCCATCTCTAGTTCTTGATCCTGAAATGCTTTGCTTGGAAGCAGTTTGCTGAAATCAGCAAAGCTGCTCTGGGATGGAGCAGCCTGCATGTGTGCTCTATGGTGCAGGATTTGGGCTTAAGCAGAGGGCTCCATGTTAAAGAAGATTTAGTATTCAAAGATCATGCGGCACATTGCTTTGTCTTGTAGACAACTAGGAGAAAGTTGGAATGAAATTGGTCATTTGAAGGGAAGGTATGCTTTGTTAGGAAGCTGGTAGTTGGTAAATAAAAAACACTCTGGACAATCTCTTTTACGATCTATTGTATTTTTATTGAATACTTTGCTGTATTTACTTAGGTTAAATAAGAACTGGTTTGATAAATAATTCCTTCAGAAAGGAAAAATTGAAAAATAATGTCTGATTGAAAAATGCAAAGATTTAGGGTATAGACTAGCTTTCTGTGATTTGTTCTTGTTGCATCCGAGTCAGAGATCAGTTTGTGAAATACACAAGTAACAGTAAATGTTCAGGGAGAGAATACATAAAATAGTTCAGTCTTTTCCTTATCCTTTTATCCTCACAGTGTGAACAGGCCAAGATTAACATGTCTGTAGCCTAGAGATGTTGCTTTATGAACTTTTCAAGATACATACTTTTGAATGCCAAAAAATAGGCTGTATGAAAATAGCAGTGAAATCAAATTGAGTTTTCTAATTACCAGTTAATGTAACGTTCAGTACAGTTTTACAGAAGTGAGTGTAATCACCATCTGCCTTCTCTGCTGCAAAAGCCTACACAAAGCCCCCCCCAAATGCCAACTGAGTTATTTGCTGCATACATAATTTGGTTGATGTCATCTATTGTTGTTTTTTCAGCAAACACCTATGCACCCAAGTTTTCGTAGTGATTCAGAGGGCTGAAAAAGGCAGTTCTTTTTGCTCTGAGATATTTTCCTTTAATGCTCTCCTAGCCGATCATCAATTACTTAACTTCTGTATTTCATATTGTTGTTCCTTTTAAAGAAAAGTTCACTCTAAATATTGTACAACTGGTCTTCAAACATTGAGCAGTACTCCGATACCATCATGCTTTAAATAACAGATGAACAGTATCTGTTTAAAGCTCTACAAATGCTTGTTTTCTTTCTCATTTGATTAATAGTCTCACTTGGCTCTACTGGCAGAAAATGGTCTGAATGTAAATTGTGTTTATGGCTGGAACCAAGGGTTCATAACAGCCTCGTGACTTGTTATCTGCTTGCAGAGGTTCACTATAAAAAAAAAGATCCTGTCAGAACACATTAGAAAATACAGTTCCGTTCTGCAAGGAATTTAACGGGCTTACAACCCATTGAAGGCAAGGTGACATCCTACACAGGTAGGTGGTATCCTGACCTTGGCAGGAAACGACCCCCAAACTAACTTTTTTCTATTGTTAATATGTCTAGTAATAACTTCTTTCTTTTTCTGAAAAAGTGTTTGATAATAAAACCTCTAAACCTAGGAAAATAAAATCTTACAGCCTCTAATATGGGATAGAGCCAACCATCGGTAAATTAAATGTGAAAGGTGGACTTTCAGTGGAGGTACCTTGCCGGAAATGCTAGGCAGTTTCTAATACATTGTTTTATGTTGTTAATAAGCTATAATATTTAGAATAATTTTTTCTGTTTGCTTGATATTTTTAGTACTTTAAACAATGTCCTTTAGGAAATACCATATATATCATAGACTTCTGGTCGAAAGTCACTCTGTAGATCAGTCTGGAGTAATAATGTGAATGTGCTCTCAAAGACAGTTCCTGCTGTGAAATAAGTAGTTAGGAGGAGTGCTAGTATTAAACACAGTTGGAGAAATCAGCCTTTAAATTTGTTTAATCAGATTAAAAAGTGGAGATTAAAAAGTAGAGATTAAAAAGTGTGCTTCTATTATATAGACATAATTTGCAAAATATGAATATTTGGATGGTATTATTTTAAAGTAAGGCTGTAAGTGTAGTGATTTTAAATCTCTCTTTATTTTCTTGGAGATCGCTTACAGAGCTGTAATTAAAAGGTTGATAATGCAGAAACAGAACTCCAAAGCTACTCTAGTACTCATGAACTGATCAGCTGGAAAAATGGGACGTAATATTCAAGCATATTATCTGAATTTCCAGGATTCTGCGAAGAACTTTGTTGGTTTAGGTACTTTTAAAACCTTGTTTGATACAATAATACATAATTTTTTTTTTTCAAATTATTCTAAAGTTCTGACGTGCAAGAGTCGGAGAGGTGCTTTCTTCTGCATGGTTCTGATGTGCAGAAGAACATCATCTTTGCATGAC